TACATCTATAGCTCTTTTCTGTCCCTTCGCTTATTAATGTCCACATCTATAAAAACCTCCTAATCTATTCCATGAAGTTTGGCCACAGATTTATACACAAAGCGAAAGGGCGGCACCACAAACGTCACGTGCTAGGTACAGCGACCAATCCAGTTGGAACAATCTCCCAGGAACGACTCCTTCCACAAAATCCCCAGCACATTAGTCCCAAGAAACCACTCCTTTTGACCAACTCAGCTAAGAGCTAGAAAATTCATTACATTTCAAAGCTCCAGAGGATCAGCAAGGGATCTGTCTAGAATGGCAGACTGCCAAAAACAAGCCTCTAGAAAAAAAGAAGTCCTGGCAGTCCCTCTTCCTTGCTGCCGCTCTATTTGCAAAGTGTCCTTTCATACATACATATGCACATGTGTACAGCAGGGAAACGGTTAAAAACTGCCCAGCCCAGACTGACATGTTGCAATTCTTCGGCAGTTTTTTCACTGCACTGTTTTGTATTGATTAAATAATCTCTATCAGATATTAAGCCCCATGTTATTGGTGCACCTTATAAATTATTCAGAAGTTATATAAATTCTTATGGTGGGCATGAATTTTTAAACCCTAATTTGGCACCAGGCCAGGAACTCTTTATTTTTCTTATTTTCTCCTCCCTTGCAAGAAAAATGTGCATGCTTTAGATTTTGTTTTTTCCAGAGGACAATTTTGATTATAACCCCCTTGTTTGAAAGGAGATTGTATTTGATTGCTATGCTATTGCACTGTCTGTACCTTTGATTTATTGGGTATGAAAGGCATTTCAAGCGCTGCCTTCACAGTGTGTAGTCATGCACGCCAAGGCTCTGCCGCGGTCTCCTCTATGGGCTCCTGATATGGAAAAGACCCAGCCAGAGGGACCTTCAGCATAACACGGGCAGAGCTGAAATAACACCCATCAGCTCCCTGCTGCAATTCTGCTAGTGACCAACTCAATTCTCTGCAAACACTCGTGTTTCTTATTTTGAAGAGCTAAATGCCAGGCTGGCGTCCTCCTGCACGCCGCAACACCTGTGCTCAGCTCAGCAGCCTCCCCTTCCCCAGGCAGCTCCCCTGTCCAGTTTCACCCTCGACTCAGAAACTCACACTCACTGGCTCCACTCCTAACACCAAACTGGTTTTCTTCTGGTCACATGCACTTATAATTGATGACAGTACTAAAATAAGTCAGCAGCAAAGAAAAGGGGCCAGAGTAGCTGCTTATGAATGTTTCTCTTAATTCTAACTGTAACTCAGACAGAATGTCTTTGCCTTCCAATCGTGTTTTATTTTCTTTCCCTGCATCCATAGCATCTCACACTCCAAGACCAGACTCCAAGAAGCATATGTATCAAAAAATCCGTTTTCAGTGCAGAGCCCTAGGAGTGACCTCAATTGTGTGAACCCTCACTCTGTCTTCTGACTCCCTTCCCCACAGATGGGTCAAACGTCAAAATCCTGGGCTACCAATGACAAAAGAACAAACAAATCTTTTCTTCTCTTTCTCGCACCTCACAATTAGTTTTCAGCAGAAACGAACAGAGTGACAGGAAAGCCCTGCAGGAGAAGCCTGGCAGCGCGAATGCCTCTGCAGACACCACCGGAGCTGCAAGTCTTTGCACCTGCCATCAGCTGATCTTGTGTAAGCCAGAAATGCGAGTTGTGCATGGGCAGGAGAACATTTTAATTTTGTTATCTGGCTCACTGGGAAGCACCTTCACCTCTGAAATCAGGAGGTGGTGTGTTCTATATGTTGCAGTGAGGCTTGGGCACACGCCCAGTGGTGAGACTGTACTGCTGGAGGCTGAAAAAGGGATGCTGCGTTTGGAGAAAGAGCTGACGAATGCACGGCCCATTACAGAGAACAGGAGATAATTCCAAAATTCTGATGTCCACTCTTTCTCTCAAAACAGATGCTTGCTTAAAATGTTGATCAAGTTGGACAACACAGAGATTAAACTAAACACTCCCTCAAAATTTGAAAAGAACCCGAAATGCGAAGATTTTAAAAAGCATCTATACAAATACACATACATACAAAATATCTGTACAAAAACGTCTGCATGTATCTGTAAATATATATTTACAGATAGATATCCACACATATTGATGGAAATTGAGAAATATTAGTATAAACATCTGAAAGAAACAGGCATGGGGCGATCCTAGGTTGTCTTCATCCTATCCCATTTCCACTCAATGAAAAGCATCTCCATGTTTATTTGAATTAGCAACATTGCTGTGTTGCTGGTGTTCCCCAACACATTTTGGCCATTCCTCTGTACTTTTTAATCCCAGATTGCCACTGGACAACATTACTCTTTTGAAAAGGGACCAAGATTTCCAAATGGATGCATCGCCACATACCAGGATGCTTTGCGACAACAAAAAAACAGTTTTTTACTGGGAGAGTTTTAGTGCTGGGTTTTCACAGAAGCTCAAAATGCTGGTTACCAAGCATTTTTGAAAATCTAACTGGATGGTCTGGCCATAATTGCTCAGCAATAAACACTGGAGATGTGGCCTTTATTCAGGTACTCTAAAGGGAGATAAGTAAGTAGGTGATGATGAAATACAGATATTGGGTTAAGATCAGCCCTCCTCCCCCCAAAAAACCAAACAATTTAATTTAAATAGATAATGCCGCAAGATCAAATGGCTACCGCCATCCCTGCCAGGAGTTCTGCTGCAGAACTGCATCAGTCAGATGCGCTCCCTTTGGAAGGCCCACCTGCTCTGGACTATATGATGGCACCTGGGTTGCCGTGTTAACAGCTCCTGGAGCAGCAGGATAATTGCTTTTTTAAGATCAAAAGGAAAGGTGGATTTATTGAATAAAATGGTACATATCAGAGAATTACAAATAAAGCATAAGACTGCTTCCCAGAAAACAAATCTGAGCCACCCACTTCACTCACGAAGGCCAACGCTCTGCTCATTTCCCCTCATGCAATCCTCAACAAGGCTCTTAATGAGAACCTCCTGCTCATTCACAGTGGTAGTGCTGTTAAAAGTGTATGAACTCCTCCTTCCTCTCTGCTTGCTACACAAAACTCTGCCTAGGGCCAACTTCAGGAAAGACCTTTCCTGTACATAGCACAGAGAAAGGAGGATCATCACCCAAGCTCCTCACACAGTTCATTTGCACTGTGGAAAACCACGTGACTAGTTCAGTGTTTCCCCTGCAATAGGCATGAACAGAACACTTCTAAAACTCAGTTTCCCTAAAATCCCGTCTGAACTTGATCCGTCTAAATTAGTGGCGCACACGCAAATTTTGGTAGCTCACTAACCGTTCCCCATTCCAAATCAGCCATAAAAGTTCCTAAAACAACTCTGAGTCTACTCCATATTTGGCTATTGCACCTCATTTCTCCATCTCTAAAATGAGGTCGTGATCCGCTCGCCCATCCTTCCTGCCTGTTCAGTCTGTTAAAGTTACATGTTGGGGGAGAGGGAGGCACAGATTGTCTATGGCTATTTGTAAATCACCCATTACTATGGGGCCCCCAATATTGGTTGAAGGCTGTCAGTGTCATCATATAATAAAAAATAAATATTGTTAGTTTAACCATCATAAAGTATCTCTGGAATCGTATATAGGCACAAATTCAGAGAGTCAGAGTAGAGGTGTGACATTTTCCCCCCTCTACATCTAGGATAATATTGTACAGTCTTATGGCTACATAAGATAACTCAAAATGCTGGAAAAAATGCTGACAGCCTTAGAGCTCATAGCCATCTCCATTCCTCCACATATCTTGATTTTAAAAAAAAAGGAACCAAACAGAAAGTGACTGCTAGGCTAACACAGATACACTAGCAAATTTTTATTATTATTTTTTAAAACTCATCTTCAGTGTTAACTAAACTGTTGAAGAAGGATTTGATTCATGATGACATTAGGAATCTACTCCACCAATGCCCTTTGTCACAAATTAAGTCATAAACCAAAAGTCAAACATGATTTGTGAAATTAACATTTATCGAGGAAATATTCCCCAGTGCTGCATTGTGATCACTTTGGCATCTGAAATATCACCCATAACTCACCAGCTCCTCCGAAACCATGCCACCACCATTACTGCTGAGATGGCAGGCGTGATGGAAGGTGCTGCCACAACCAGAGAGCAATCCCTTTTTTTGGCACTGGTGTGAACTGGAGGTCACTATGTCTTATTTTTTGGGAAAGCACATGAATACACGCTTCTCATCCCACGCACACTTGTAACACCTCTCCCCTCCGCAAGCACGCTCTTCTGCCTCTTAGTTTTATCCAAGGCTACGGCTGCTTCTAATTTTGAACAGTGAGGTTTGGCACAAGCTCTGCATTATGCCCTTTCTTTAAAACAGTGACTAATAAAAATGAAATGTAATTAATGGTCATTGGCACTTTCACAGAGCTGGCACTGGCAACGAGCTGCAAAAAAATCCAAACCAAGCAACAACAACAAAGCTTTGCTAGCTTTGTAACTGTTACTGCAGAGAGCTCACATCAGGAAATTTCAGCACAGCTTAAAATCAGAAATCGCTATTGACAGCAAATTTAAAAATATTATTAGTGAGAGTTGAGTGTTTCAATGAAAACTGTTAGGCAAGTGAGGATATCCAAAATATCCACTTTAACAGTTTGTTAACAGTTTTGATTCAAACTGGTTCCAGACCTTACAGGTATAAACCTTCCTCCCCTGTTGTTAGAAAACATTGGCTTGTCATCTCTTCCCTCCGTTTTCAGTAGGAAAAGAAACAGCATATAAACAAAACACAGAGGAGAAAAGAGTGAAGTAAGAAAACCTGGGAAAATAGGAACTGTTCCTCCCTCAGCCAGCTACTAGATATCACACAGACACCAGACCTCAGTGTAAAAACATACCCAGCTCCATTCTTGCAGAAAAGTTACCAGGTTCCAAAACCCTCCTCTCCCTCCCATCCTTCCTCCTTCCATTTTCCTTTCCCCTTTGCTGGCAAAAGCCAATAATACCTACAAATATTTTTTATTTTCGTAAACATCATGCAGCTTTAAAACGTGGGGGTGTTCTATCAACTTCAGGATGGCTATTTCCCGCTCCACCTGGAAGAAACAAAAAAGACATAGAGAAAATTAGAAGGTAGGTCTTAGAAGGTCAGAAATCATCACATTCTTCCTTCCAATTCATCCATTTCCCACTCTTCTTTATATGCAGGGGATTTTTCAACTTATAACAACAAATAATATTTAGCACTCAAAACATTTAACAAAAATTTAATTCATTTAGCCTTAGTACTGTCTGTCCTTCAGGACAGAAAAACAGCAAAATGTCACGGTTGAAAGAAAATTCCCAAACCTAGCAAAGAGAATGAGCTGCAGGACTTATTGAGCATTCAAGGCAGTTCCTGCCTCACAACCCAAAGCCCATGACATGCTCAAACATGTCATTTAGGGCTTTCCTGACCTCCCACAGGCACAGATGTGGCCACGTTGCACTAGGTACCGTACATTCAGTTAATAAGAGAAAATCACCATCCCAAAGAACTTGCAGTGTAAGCAGGGAAGACGAAGAGTGGAAGAGAACAATGTCGTTTTAGAGCTGCAGGATTGAGGCACAGAAAGAGAAACAGATAAAAAGTGACTTAAAAAATACAAGGCACAACAAGAAATAAAACCAGACTGTGGGAGACCCCGTGTTCAGGGCCTTAAGCGTAAGGCTGTGCTTTCTCTCAATTCCCAACCCGTCGGACTGGGACGCTTTAACTGCATGTCTTCAGCACTGAGTTAACAAGCTGCAACTAAGGCCCTGTCATTAACTGAAGTCCTCTTCTCACCCACAATTCTTATCAGACTGTCGCAGTGCTTTTAATTTGAATTTACTGAGGGAGAGAGGGTATTCATTAGAGATGGAGTTCGTATAATTCCTCAGCCGCTAGCAAAATTGCTCTGTGCTGCTCAAAGCCACGCTGTGACCACTCTGATTTGACCTAGGCTAACTTGAAGGGAGTTAACGTAGTGCGGCGGAGACCATAGATAACCAAAATAAACTCTGCAGCAAGACACAGTCTAAGCGATGCACAGTCAGGTATGACAAATTTCCAGGAATCCACAAAGGCAGGAATGAGACCTAAAGAAGCAAACAGGGACAAGCAGGTAGGTTTTTTTTCAGTCCTTTGAACAACTGATCGCCCTGCAGCTGCCATTCTAACAAGCAAAACACGAACAAAGCGCAGACCCTTTCCAGAACGTCTCCTGTGCAGTAATCAGACAAGTAATTAGGAACTCGTTCCTGTATACCTCTAGCTTGATGTCCTTAATTTCCTGAGACATCATCCTCTGCTAAACCCGAACACAGACAACTTTCCCTGAATGCTAGTAAGATACTTAGCAGGAAATTAGAAAGTGCTAGTTTTCTAGCATCAGAAAGACGAGGAGGATCTCCCAGCACATTGGTTATCACCCCAGATCTCTCTTCCTCTACACCCCCCCCCCCCCCCCCCCCAAAAGAACAAAAGCAACTCTAGCATCACATCACCCTTGGCCTTCCTCTCACATTAGCATGGAGGAAAGGGTGTTTGTACATGCGTTAGTCGTACTTTTTCGGAGACACTTATTCCTCTCCGCAAACCCAAAAGTCATCTGAGAGATCCGCTTCCACACTTGTGATCCCTGGAAGTGGTACTTCAAAGAAGTGGGGAGCAGGCAGTGCATCAGGAGGCCTAACGGAAGTGTGTGTGTATACACGCAAACGTCTATGCAGCTGAGTGATTCCAGAAGGGAACCGCTATGAATTCAGTGCCACACAGTACTTGAAGGTGATAGCTCGGTAGGCATAATTACCCATGACTAGCACTTATACGAAAGCCATTTATACAAATAGAAAAGGAAAGTTGTGAATATTTCAACCTTAAACCTACTCCACAAAAAAAAAGGGGGGGGGGAGGGCAGGGGGGAAGAGCTATTTTTCTCCATTTTTGTCTCCTCTTCAGAAAGGCTTGTTACTCTTTTCTCCCACAAGACATGCATTGATATTTGGAGAAACCTTACTTAAGCGCTTTACCTGATAAAGTGGTATTTGCGTCAAGAATGAGGAAAAACAAAGCAGAAAAAGCACCGACCCGCATAATGACCTTCCAGTATTACCGAGGTTCAGGCATCAGCACCATATACTGCAACTATTCAGAAACTGGAACCCCAAAAAAGCACCCTCTGGAGGAGGGACACCAGGAATTTCAGAGGAACGTGATCACCGTACTAGCTATGGAAGCGATCATCGAACCCCTGTTCTCCTCTCCTGCCTGAGGAAGAGGGAAGTTCCCTGCCGATTCGCTGTCTAATTGCATTGGAGATTCACTTCTGAGAAGCCTGTTGGTGGGTGCTGCGGCAACACGTGTCTAGACCGAGTGAGCGAAGGGTGGCAGCATCCAGCCAGGGTCCTGCTTGGTTACTGAGAAGAGGCAGCGATTTATAACTACCATTTGGAGGAGGAGATTCAGTTAAAACACTGCACGGTCTACCTTCGACAGAAGAAAATTAGACCAGAAGGCAAATACCACTTACTACCTACAGACTTACGCTAGGAACCAATTAAAAAAAATAATCGGAATTACTTTATTTTCATCACTTTAACTATATGAGTGTGGAAGGTCCTGCACATGTTTTTAATTTCCTGGAAATTAAATCCTGAGGGGAAATCTAGTTTCAAAAGTCTTGATTTAAACCTCAGATATGTAGAAAGCATCAGGCTTGATGCACCTAGCAGTATTTAATGGCGATATACCCAGTTCAGTGTTGTGTTGCACCTCTCCAGCGCAGGCAGCAGTCTCCTTTCCCCAGCAGTGCGAGTCTGCGGTTAGAGAGGGGGCTGGCAGAATTCACAGAATCCTCCTTTGCCACCACTGTTTGCTCTAAACCAAGGACAAACATCTATTCATTTTACAGTCCTTCAGTGAAAGGGGCTTTATAAAGGCAAAGTGTTATTACTACACTTCTCATATAGTCCAGGATTTGGTCCCTGTTTAAAGGAGCGAGACACTAAAGGCTGTATTACTTCAAGAACTAGAGATTCCCAGGTCTCTAACCAGCGATCTGAACAAGACCGTCCTCGCAAACCTTACAGCAGCGCCCTGCCCCTTCTCCCTTCCACTGAAACACTACAGTCTCCAAAAAGCCTGCAGTGGAGCACCTTCTCAAAAGCACCACTGCAGTCACTATTAACGGGCAGCTCTCCCAGATCCTGTTCACATTTCCATCCTTACAGCGAAGCCCGTAATTGATACGGGTTGGACACACAGCGCACATCTCAATAGTAATTTTACCGACACGTGGTTTCGGAGGGTCTAGTAGTAATCTGTGTCATTCGCAAAGGAGAGGTAGCTGGACTCACTGGTGAAATAAAAGAGGCCTTAAATAGTGCGCAGCTTTGCCTTCTTCCCCAGAGCTTTGCTAGCTACTGGCAACGCTTTTTTGCGCATCCCTGTGCTTGCAAGCCATGTAGTGCTGTCCAGCTCAGAGCTGGCAAGGACAGGGGAATGGAGAAACCCTGCAGGGGAGTTTGCTTTAATGCAGATGCAATTATCAGAAAGCAGGCCAAGCTTGGAATAGCCTGTCTAGGGAAGCTCAGAGTCTGTGATAAACAGGAAACATGGAGAAACATTTGCATAATAGTTAAAAAGGAAGAAGAATAAAAGAGGAGCTCTATCTGTCACACAAGCACAGGGTGATGTGAGAGGATCCCAATAACCTGGGTTGCCACAGACCCTGGCAGACCATTGTCCACGCAGTACCTAGAAGTCTTGGAGCTGGGGAGGGGGGGGAAGCTACGAAAAACTGTGCAGGGCAACTGGAGGCACATTGCTAAGGTGTAACCTTGCAGGTGCCAATTAGAGGTTTTTAAAATCCATGCAGGAGGCTGATTTGCTGACAGGATGCTCCAGTAATTCAGCTAATGACAAAGAGCATCACGAGGGCAACGTGACCTTTGGAAGGAATAGCACAAGACTCCGCTTCCATCTCTTCCACCTCTACTTCACCCTCCTCCTCCAGAGGAGCTCACATTTCTCTGGTTTACGCTCATCTCATCCACACAGTTTTCACTGACAAGTGCTGCACTCCCTCCCTTTCAGACTCATTGACACATGGGATGCTCATTCACCTATGAGGCAAGGAGAGCAGTTGAAGGGAGCCAGGAAGTTTGTCTCAATGATGAAGAAAGCTCCTTTTTCACTTGCATTCATGTGCTCAGTAACAATCGCGTCGCCCATCTAGAACGTGGTGCTGTGACTATTTGAAAAACGAGGTGGGTAGCTGTCTCATATCACCAGGCTATAGTTTATCCACAAAATCTATGCAAGCATTATGCAGCAGCCATTTACAGCTTTATTTCTCAATGAATACCTGTGCCAAAAAAGCTGGAAGGGAAGGGATGGCATTTCTCCCTGGATGCTTTGAAGTTCACCAGTAGAACACCACTGACATCCGTTGCTCCTCTACTTTTTAAAATACAGGCCTGAGAAGGAAGTCTGGAGTGGCAGAAATAGTGAGGGAGAATAAAGCCCTGCAGGCAGTAAATTTGTTGTGCTGTTTTTCCTAATCACAGCTAAATGATGCGTAGGAGGGAAGGGCGGGGGGAGCTAGATTTTCATATGAAACTCAAGTGCTCTAATGTTGACCCTGCTTTGCTTTGAAGTACATAATGAAATAACTTGCAGAACTCATGCCTATCCCTCAGTTACTAGAAACTCAATCTGGACGTGAACCTTCTCAGAGTTCAGAATTACTCAGAGTTGGGAAGAACTTCAAAGGAGGCAGAGATCTGGATGCTTATCTAACTCTTCAGGCTAGAATTCAGCCTGGAAGCCTCAGACTGAAGGACCTAATTTCTCCAGTGTCTGGCTTGCTATGGAGTAATTTGCATGTCAGTGATGAGAGCGCAGAAAGCATAAAACATCAGTAAATCACTGTGATAATGTTTACCCTAAGTACCAGATAGCAAGAAACTAATTTCAAGCTTTCTGGAAAGCTTTCATTCTTGGTGTAATGGAAATATCTCATGAACAAACCTTAAGATTTTGCTTCTTTGGTGCTTCCATGAGGCTTGTGTG